ACACTCAGCAGAGCAAGATTACAGAGTCTGCCTTGACCCAGGAGGCTCTCAAATATGAAAGAATTAGTTTTAACTTGTTGAATGATCTCTCACAGCTGGCGATGGAAACTGCGAGGGTTAGCATTATTTGAATAGCAATGCGAAGATTGGGGAAGACGCTCTTATCTCCATAGTGAACAATAAATTCGAAAGGCTTTTCAGGTCTTGATATTTTCATGTTGGCCCAACTTGATAGCAACATTCTGCAATCCAAAATTTCTTCATATAGCTGCTGTCCATCAACATCAGAGCTGTTCAATTCGCCCAAATTTTTGCACTTCTTCTTTAGGTCATTACTGCTAGCGCCGTAACACAGTCCCTCGGCATCGAGAAGGAACCCAAACTTGGCGTGAGTGATGTGCAAACGAGCAAACCTTTCATCCATTTCTCTGTGAAGACGGTCAAGTGTTCCCTTGATGACTCTTTCCATTTTTTCCTTGGCTGTTAACCCAGCATCTCTCGAGTTCTCATCAGCCATTCGTTTCTTTCGTTTCTGACTTCTTTCATCTTCAATATTCCATTCTTGACAGAGACAGAGTCCTTTTTTGAGTGACTCACTGACCAACACTTCTCTTTCATCATCAAAATGATCTCAGAGGGCTTTCAAATCCAGGGCAGCATTGTTGAAGTTCATGCTAGGATTCTGCAGCCTTTTTTGAATACGGTCAATGTGAATGAGTACTTTGTTCCAAAATCCTAGCAAAGTCAGAAAATCGTAACTCAACATGCAGTTATACAGCTGCCTTGCATCACTTCTTGTTTCACTGGTCTCGTTTTAATTGTCTATCATGTACTGAAGAACTTGAAGTATTTCCTCAAGGTACTTGTTGATGGGCTTCACTGCTTCTGTCCTTGCCCTCCACTTGGTTTCAAACTGCAACTTAACAATCACAGGCATGGCATTTTTAAGTTTTTCCCAGCTCTGTGTTGAAAGAGAGAAGAACACGTAGAGAGCTTCGATGATTCCAAAAAACGTGATCATCATTGTATCCTGCATGGCTGCATGTACACCCATCAAGTCGAGTGAGTGATTGTCACAATTTACAAACACTGCCAGGTTGTTATTCTTTGATGAACACCACTTCTGTGTCCAGCCATCACAGTAACATTGTCATAGCATTGTGACTGAAAACTTTTAGCTCCATTTCGTTCTTCTCTAGCTGTTTCAAAATGTCTTCAACCAAGCTCTCAGCATCCTTCTGTCTCATCTGGATAAAACCAAGGAAGGACTCTCTAACACGGACTGTTTTTGCTCTCAAAATCAGCTTCCACGTACAACACTACTTCTTACATCTGCTCACGGTGTGCCTGATCAGGAGTTGCATCGAACATGAGACCATAGTACTTGGCTTTACGAATGCTTCTCAGTAAACTCTGGTTAACAGTGGATGCCATCATGTGGATGAATTCATTCTGGACACTCAGTGAAAGATAAGACATGGATCCAGGATGACTTTCCACACGAGTGAGGTGTTCTTTCATGACAGGGTCAAAGATGGCCAGTAGTTTCAGTAAGCCAAAAAATTTCCCACATTGGAGTCATTGTCTAGCTGAAGTGACTCCCTGTGTCCTTGCAAAGCCAGGTTCTGAGTCGCAAGGAATTTTATGCAGTGAGGGATTTTTGTCAAGATATCACACCACTTCTGCCTTTCCTTCTCAATCTGTGACTGAAGTTCCGCATCATCAATAACTCCTCTGTTTTCAGCTAAATTTCTTTCCACTGTGTGAAGCACTCCCAATGATTCTTAGCATTTTCATGAACACTAATCCTTTCATGTGCTTTCCACTGGTTGAATCCACTTTTCTGCTCCAATGAAGATTGATGGTCTGACCGGGAATAGAGAAGACAACAGATACAAAATGCAGACTTTTTAGAAGGGGAATAGACCAACCATGAGTGAGTCACTTCCTCACCATGACCATTTCCCAATTTCCTCTTGAACCAAGTTTTGTTCATTTAGCAGTTATTTATTTGTAGGAAAGGCCCCTCACTGTTCTGGAAATACTTCGAACCCAGCTTTATTATTTCTGTTCTCAACATGGCAGGCAGAATTGCTTTTCCAGTATCCTTGTCGAACTTCAGAAGTCCAATGTCATGCTGTTCAATCATTTCTGGTATGACAGTTCGAGGCTCTTCAACACCATCCAATTCACTAGGTTCAGTGTCGTCAGATAAAATCTCATCAATAAACTCAACATCACCACCCCCATCGTCTTCCCCTCCTCTGGCAGCCTCAGTCTTAATCTTGTTATACTCGGATTTATCTGACTTGGCTTTCTCCTTGGCTTGTGATGCATTTGTACTTGATCCACCTTCGGATTCTAACAGACTTGTAGCTGCGCTTTTCAAAGTAGTGCATGAACAACTTGCTCAACTTCTTGGCTTCCTCTGCCTCCAATTTTCATCTCTTCCATCCTTCAGCTCCACTTTCCTACTTCATCATGAAGTAATGTTTCATTGTCTTCTTACACGATGCTCTGAAACAAGGAAATGGCACTTTCAATA